TATGAGTCTAGTTAAAACAAAATAATTATAGAAAACCAAAATCTTCTGGGGGGGGGGGGGTGAGTCATTTCAGACCACATTTCTCTCATGTTCTGACACAATCAGCAGTATTCAAAAAAAAAAGTAGTAATGCTTTCACCTTACTCCTTTGAAAAGCTCTAAGTGACTTTTGAATCAAAATAAAGTAATATTTTCCTCCTTATATCATCACTTGCCCCAATTATTGTCCGCCTTGATTTCTCCTTTGATTAGTCATCCTTTGCCTCTGTCTCCTTTTATTTAAGCTTCACAAGGCAGTTTCCTTAGAGAAGAAAATGCCACAAGCCTTTCAAAGATAATCAGCGAGAGTAGTCTGTTATTGGTGGGCACTTAAAGAATTAGAAATGTCTTATGAAAATAATTTAGAAAAAATCAAAGCACAAAACTAAATACTCCATAACTACGTAATTCTGCCTTTAGATCAAGTTTGCTTTCCCATATTGAATAATAACAATATTTATCTTATTGGTTTTCCCCCATATTCACTGTTTTGGTGAGTGCGTGTGTGTTTATGACTTTAGGTGGGGATAATCTTTCTCAGCATCCAGTATTGTTGATATTACAATCTGGTTGGTTTCAGGCTGAAGTTCTAGGTACAGAAGACAATGAAAACTTCAATACCTTGCTGAATTGGGCCCCAAAATAGTATTTCTATTTAAGTACATTCATAATCCACTGATGTTAGTAGGCCTCCTGGCATGTTTAAGTGGGGCCTTAATGCAAGTACACTTGAACCTCCATACTCTAGGTGTCCCTAATCTGGGAACAACTGTGATACAGAGGAGGAAGCAACTCCATGCTGCTGTTCTTCCCCTCCCTCTAGCTAGGGGTTAGGCAGAGCATTATGAGCTTTCCATATGTCTTTTCCCTACCGCTCTCAACAGTGGTAGTGGTGGGAGGAGCAGTGTCTTGGAGCGGTGTGAAACCTCATATGTCCCTGGGAGCGAAGCACCAATTAAGTGTCCCATCTTCCCCTCATGCCCTGTGCCCTTCCGGGCCCAGCAAAAATCTTTAATCCAGCATGTTTCCTGTGGGTTGCTGGATTTAAGAAGTTCCAGTGTATCCACAATAAGAAAAAGAAAAACAGAATGCAAGGCAAAATCACTCCTAAATCATTTCAATCATAATAGGTATATTAAAAATGCCTAAACAGATGGTAGACTTGTTGGAAAACCAAGAACACATCCATTGGTCTTTAATTCTAACATTTTTGTACAGAGCTTCAATGAAGATGACATTCATCTCCAAGTTGTGCTGCCATATACAGTCTGTTTACGTGTCCTTAGCAAATATTGAAACAAAATACTAGTATTGAATGTAAATTGACATAATTATGTGGTGTGGTGGTGCATGCACACCCTGTCTTGAGACAAGGTTCACAGGGGTGTATGGACATTGTTATTACTGCCAATGAAGAAAAAGCCGATCCATATTTCTTGGGCAAAATTCTACAACTTGCAGATGATGATCTCTGATTTTTAATGTGGCAGTTTGCCAGAGTTAGCAAACTGGGCCACCGCCAATATAGTGGGCCACCGCCACTATATTTACATGAATGATCACAGGTACTGACCAGTCAACCACACCCTTCTTTGAAACTAGAAATACACAATTAAGCAGCTGAGACCAAAAAAAACCACCCAAACAAACAGTACTATACAGTATTTGCAAACTTAAACTACTAGAAAAAGGGAACATTTTAAAAAATGATTTGAAAAAGTAAGAAGAGACCGCTTCTGTGCTTCTTTCATTTGAATTAAGAGAACTAAAAGCAGTATTTTTCTTCATAGTAAATTTTCAAAGCTACATTGAAGTCATTGTTATAAACTTTTGAAAGAAGAACCATAATGCTTTTGTGTTAGACAACTTGCATTCCTGAGGTGTTTGTAACACTGAGGTTCTATAACTACTTGTCTTAAATCCCCCTCAAAGATGCAGTTGAGAGGTAGGCAGCTCAACAATGCTGAAACATCTGGTTAAAAATAAAAAAGGAAATAGTCTTCCCCAGTTCTTCTAGTTCACTCAAATCCTATTTTCAAGTTGAATGTGAATTTTTCTCTCCCAAGGACCTTCCTCCAGGGTTTAAACCGGGGTGGGCAACCTTTTTTGGGTTAGGGGTCACTCACTCAAAATAAAAATCAGTCAGGCCACATGTAAGTAAAAAAGCAAATAACACCCCTCCCCCAAAAAACCTCCCAAAATACCCCTCACTGATGTAGTCCCTGACTGAGAAGGAGAAAGACGCTCCCCACATTGCCATCACATACCGCAACTTGGGGAGGGGACATTCTAGTAGATTTTGTGCTCCAGCCCTGTGGTAGGACAGCGTGGGGGAGCTTGGAGTATCAGTGAGGGCTTCCCAATGCTGAGGGTGGGCCTGAGCCTCGGGGGCCAGATCCAGGCAAGCCGGGGGCTTCATCAGGCCCCCGGGCCTGAGGTAACACAACCCCTGGTTTAGACTCTATCGTTTGCCATCCATATGATTAAACGTGGATGAATGTATGCTTGAAGGGCGCTTGCCTGAATATAACCACCTCATGCTTCAAGACCACAGCATATTTAAGACTCTTCTGGGTGAACGCTAACACTTTGCTCCCTCCCATTTGGCTTATCTATGGAATTCTGCAGATTAATAGTCCCTTGGTGAGCCCTTCCCTCGCTGCTAATCTTCTTCCGCCCCTCTCCTTTCTCTTCATTTCCTCCTGTCTTGGTCCAAGCTTAATATTTGATGTCTTTTGCCTGCCTTTTTAGTTAGTGTTGGCTTCCTGTGTGCTTTGGGCAGGCAAAAGATGATGACGTTTACAAGTTGTTGATTGTGGGGAAGGTACTCTGCTGGAAGATTGCAGAGAGAAGGGTGGGCACTTAAGGGTCTTAGAGGTAGTCTAAACCAGTGGTTTTCAAACTATGGGTTGTGACCCCAGTACTGGGTCATGGCATGCCAGGCATTGGGTCTCTTGCTGCAGGGGGATCAGGTGACTAATGGTGTTGCTATGGCAGGCTATTTGCTGGTCCTGGAACCACAAACTGCACTGGGCTCCAAAAGTGGCTGGCAGCAGGCCCAGCTCTCATATGGAGGATTGGGGGGAAGAGCGCACATGGCTCCACCCAATGCCCCTGCCCCAAACACTAACATCACACTCCCATTGGCTGGGAACCTGCTGCTGGCTGCTTCTGGGTGCAGCATGGTCTGTGGTGCCAAGAGAGGAAACAGGTCTGCCTTAGCCCCCCTCCTTCCTCCACACTGCTGAATGGGAGCCACTCAAGGTAGGCCCCTCCAGCCATCAACAATTTTCTTCAGCTGGGTCATGAGGAAAAAAGATTTGAAAAGCACCGATCTAACTGTGAGGTCAGATTTAATAAAACTATGTCCACTGTCTCTAGCGCAGAAGCCAAGTTTTCAGAATATAACATAGTATCGGGTAGAATAGCATCAGGTGAAAGTTTCAAGATACGTATATTATGGAGACTAATTTCAATAATTAAGACCCGAAACTAGGGATTTTACTCCTCCTTCAAAAGAGAATTTGAATGCAATTGTAACAGAGCTACTATTAACACCTCAATAACAAAACTACAAACCTTTTGAGTTAATGTATCACTGCTGTTCAAAAGCCGCTGGAGCTGCAATTTCATGGTTTGTCAGGAGTACCCATCAATTGAATTAAGTCCTTTTATTGTCTGCAGGCCGTTTATTAGCCCATGCATTAACTTTTACAGCAACATATAAAAACTGGCTTGGATGAGGCATGAGATTGCTAACTGAATGTGATATCTGGTTTCTGTACCATTGATCTGATCCTGCTCAGGTCATTAGCAGCTATAGCTTGTTGCCATCTGACTGGTCAGCGGTCATTCCATGTATGCTGGTGTTGATTAGGAATTGATGTGTCCACACTTACAAAAGTATCCTTGGTGACTACTTCTACACAATTTTGAATTTTGGATTTGACAGCATACGACTTCTCCCCCTACTTCCATTGTACCCATAAGCAAAATAAAAGTGGTATCTCATTGAAATTTTATCTGATGCTTAAATATATGTGTATAGGTTGTTAATTATTATGAATAATGAGGTGAAGTGGTGCTGCTGACTTGGTAAAATGAAAACAAAATCTGAAAGGATCTTTCTTTTAAGCAATTTTTTTGGATATGAAGCTTAGCTTGTCAGGAGTGTCCCCGTGTATTTTAAGGGTACATCTTTTAATGTAAACTGTTAATAAGTTAGAAAAATTAGCATGTATATAATTTTATTTTGTTATTGCATGATATGCTCATGGAAACAAAAAATACAAAATCTTAAATTATTTCAGATTTGATACTAATACAGTTATTTTATCTTTTTCTTACATAGCTGTGTATGCCTAAAGGGCTATCTTTCAGGACACAGACTGACAATAGAGACCCGCAGTTCCACTCATTTATAATTACCAGGGAAGATGGTTCTCGTACTTACGGATTTGTGCTCACGTTCTATGAGGAGGTCACAAGCAAGCAAATTTGCACAGCCATGCAAACGCTTTACCAAATGCACAATGCAGAGCAATACAGCAGTGTCTATGCTTCGTCGTCTTGCAGCATGGACTCCCTGGCAAGCAGCATTGATGAAGGAGATGCCACTTCCCTGGCTAAGCTCCAGCAGTACAACTCGTATGACATAAGCAGAGACACATTATACGTGTCCAAATGTATATGTCTCATCGCTCCTCTGCCCTTCATGCAGGCATCCAAGAAGTTCCTTATCCAGCTGTACAAGGCAGTTACCTCTCAGCAACCCCCACCTTTACCTCTGGAGAGCTATATCCATAACATTCTTTATGAAGTACCCCTCCCACCTCCAGGGCGGTCCCTAAAGTTCTATGGGGTGTATGAGCCTATCGTTTGCCAGAGACCTGGACCCAATGAACTTCCTCTATCTGATTACCCCCTTCGAGAGGCCTTTGAGCTGCTTGGACTGGAAAACCTTGTCCAGATTTTCACATGTGTTCTCCTGGAGATGCAAATTCTTCTGTATTCACAAGGTAGGTTATCTTTCTGGATTTGCATCTACTGTAATCAGGCAGTACCTGAATATATATCCTGAGATGTTGTCAGCCGATGGTCAGGGCTGTTACACCTGAGTCTTCAACTGCTGGAGCACAAGGCCCTGTCGCAGTGGGCAGTCTAGCAGAGACTGACGGGCACCCCGAGGAGTTTAACGTCCGTGTCTTAGTCCTCTAGGATCGGGATCCCTTCATGGAGGGCAGCCAATAGGCTGACAGACGCCCCAGAGTTTATAGGAAGAGCTTATTACATCTCAGATTTTAACTGCTAGGATACAGGATCCCTTCGCAGCGAGCAGCCTAGGGAAGGCTGAGAGATGCCCCTACGGATCTGTTCTCTGGAAGCGACACGATCCAAATGCCCAAGCTCTTCCTATACCTGTCCCTTATGACCGGCTGAAGTTCTTTTAAATTGTGCTTGGTTCTGTTACACCAACTGAAGGAGTCAGGTTAAAACTTAAACAGTTACAGGTTTATTAAAAAGACTTAGAAAGCATATGGTTACAATGGCTATTGCTCTCTTTCTTAACTGCTAGCAAATATAGATCTTAAAAAAAATAGTTACAAAGAAAATAAAGATAGAAAATAGAAATAATGGTACCAAGTGACAGCTTAATCTTTAAAGAGCTCTAAGTCATCCAGGTACAATTTTTACCCCCTTTTGTACCTCTCGACTCCAGCGGGTCAAGCCACGGCTGGTCCCTCAATTCCTAGGAAAGATGAATACGAGGTGGGCATCCTAGTGGAACCTCGGGAGCCCAGTCACATAACCCGACCAGCAGATAGACGGTAGATTGACGCTCAGAGTAAATGTGTTGCTGGACCCATCTTTATACCCATAGGAGCCCGTATCCTTTCTTATCTAAGATGCCAACTTGTGTTTGTCTGTCTTTGTGACACCAGTTCTTACAAGGGAGTTTCAAGTTAATTTACACTTGCAAGAGAGAGAACTAAATTTTGAGTACTGGATGTTTTTTTACA